GGTGGTTGATCGGACCATCAATCTCCCAATGACCGGTATCACTAGCCACTCGGCACTACGGACTGTACGCTGCACGCGGCGAGGCGGGGCTGGCGCCGTGAGCCTGTCGTACCCAAAGTGTTGGCTAATGCGCCGCACACGCCCCTAGAAATCAGGTGGGGGCGAAAACTGCGACAACTGTTCGACTCTGACTCAAACAATACGCCAGTTTCTCTAACGTTAATTGTTCGAAGTAGTAAGATATCCAAGTATACTTGGGATTACGAAGCGGCCTGAATGGAAATCCTTTTTCTTTATTATTTACGTCCCTCTCCTTTATTAATTATAGTTCCTCACCAAGATAGACGCTTCCTGTTGATTATTTAACACGTGGGGAACCGCTGGCCCACGGCTCTAACCTCGCCCCGTCACGCATGCGGCGGCCCGGCAGCGAGCAGCCTGCAACGACGAGTGCTTCGTGTTGCTGTCCATCGGGAACCGATCTATTGAATAGCCGCAAGCGCGACGGGGCTGGGCTAGAGCTGTGGGTCAGTGGTCTCCAATGTGTTAAAAAGCACGCCAACTCTTTTGTCAAGTTCCAACAAGTCAAGTCCACAATTACTTCTGGGCCCACAAAAATCCATCTTGAAGACATATCAAAAATATTCCCAAAGGGACTTCTGTCATAATTTTTGATAATTAGTAATTATACAATTTGTCTTCTCTTCCATGATTTGTGGTAATAGCCAATTCACTAGGCAACAGCGCGAATAGCTCAGTGGTCGGGGGTGCTTTGTGGCACGGGGTCGATGGTCGGTCACGCTTGAGGCTCACCAAGCCTTCCATCCCTCTAAGGTAGCAGATTGGTATTACACTTGTCTGGAAAGATGCAGCACCAACTTGATACGTTGGTAGACCTTTGTGAGTCATTATAAAGGCCTCATATGCACTCAATCACCTCTAACGATGCTATATGAAGTCGAATGCATGGCGCATCTCTCACAGATGATCAACACTAAGAGCTTTATCCTTTCTATATAGTTTCCCACAACAATAGACCTTGATCTTGTGGCGTAAAAACATAGCTAAAGTAGGCAACTACTTTACCTAAATATACCCCTTTGCAGACTTCTGCGAGTTGTAAGTCTGGCTCAGTGTCAATAATGAATCCCGCTCGACGGATCCGTTCTGTTTTCTTCAGCCGTTTGTTTGAAACACCTAAAATACGGAAGTAACGCCTCAACACTCTCTCTGTCATCAGTCAATTCGTGTTAACCATGAAATAACGCGAGCGGTGACCAACTGAACATTCGAGAACAAATAAGGCGCTGAACTAAGTCAAATGCAACTGTGCAATCTCACCACCTTGGAGGCTTTAAGAGATCTCAGAGATCTCTGAAGGCATGGAAGAGGACTCTGAGAGACTTCGGAGATCTCTAAAGGCATTGAAAAGAATTACAAGAAACCTCAGAGAAGCCATATCAGACCTCTGAAAGGCTTGAAATATGCTATCAGAAACATCAGAGTTTTCTGAAAGCGTGGAAGAGATTTCAGTAGTTTTCATTGATCTCTGAACGTATTCAATAGACAGGGTGGGTGAACGATAATCGCTCATTTATCATATTTGCTAAATATGTTATTTTCCTTAACCGGCTGACTTACGTGGACCCACGGGGCGCGTCTGACGACTCCTCGCACGCAAATCATTCCAAAACTTGGCTGCGGGTTCTGCAACGAAAAGCAGCTGTAATTGGCGTCCGCAGAGGAGTTGAAATCGTTGGACACGACTTCCGGGTCCACGGAAGTCGACATATTAATGTAGCATAGGAAAATAACAAGTCCCGAAAGGATTAGCTTTAACCTACTTGAGATACTGAACAAGACTAACCAGGAAATGATTCGCTGTTTTCGATGGTAGTACCACTGCAGACGAATTCACCAGTTTCATCATCTCTCTGCTCCACCACTTCCCTTCCATCCTCAAGCAATACGCTGAAGTGAAAAGAGGCTTGAATTGGGACCCGTACCCGAACAAATGTGCCCTACCCTAAATTTTAGTATCCTATTATATAAAAACAGTAAGCCGTTCCAAGGGCAGTGAGTTAGTGCAGTGATTAGTGTGGAGGTGTGTCAAAAGGAAGATGATAAACAAGGCAGTGGTCCGACTCCTCTTGCAGCACTCCTCTGCAATCGATCTACTGAATGCGTTGGAAGATGCCTTAACCCGTTCACCTCCAAGAATGAAAGGGGAATCGCCTCGACCAGCACTCCACGACGTTTATAAGTGGGAAGAAATTCTCAAGCGGCACTTAGAGCAACTCGTGGGATTTTTGAAGAGTTTTGTGGAAAGACCAGGAAGGCGAGGAAAACGATCTGAACCCAGGAAGAGCTGGGATCCGCACAATGGCTTTCGTACGCTTCGGCGTTCTCGCACGCCTCCACAGAGCCACATGCCCTACGGCTCACCTTTGCTAACAGTTCTCCTCTTCTATCAGACTATATTGAATTTTTTAGCAAGATTTTAGACACAGTCGATTGAAAGGTATTGTTATGCGCTTCATAACAGCCGTAAGGATAAAGGATAAAATGAGCGCACACGCAGTGGTTAGAGGTGCTCTGTATCGCACACAAGAACGATTACTCGATCTCGTGCTCATGGCTCACAAAGCCATCCATCTCTCCGGAGTCAATTGATACCAGACTGATTTGGGACTTGCCTGGGAGCATAAGCAGCAGTGACTCAATGCAGCGGGAGACCACCAGGAGTCATCGTAAAGGCCATAAATGCACTCATCCACGAAGTTAAAAATTGAAAACGAATGCATGGCGCATTGCTCAGGGATTGATCAACGCCGCGAGCTTTATCCTTTTATACTTTGAAGCCGTAAGCCATCGACATAAAATCAGTCTAGACCGTAACATCATGGGATATCTCACTTTTTGTGAACTGATATATCTGCGGCACCGCTGCTATTAATACTGACACATTGACCTCCGCGGACCCACAGCTAGGTTTTGGACTAAGTAATTCGCTCACGGTCTTGCAACAAAAGTAGTACTGTAGTCGGCGACTAATCGGGGCAGAGGAGGTTGAGGCGTTCACACGCTGATGGACACTCTCAGCGTAGATCCGCCGTGAGCCAACAGGCTAGAGCATGTAGCTCGAAAGAGTCGTGTGAGAACGCCGAAACGCACTATGCCATTAGCCCACCAAACCCCTATAAGGTTCAGAACATTCTGTCAGACTGTGTTAAATTCTAGCCAAGTTTTCTAACACAGTCGATTGAATCGAAACACTGTACTATAGTCATACAGCTGACGACTCTGTGGTGATCAGATTGCAAAAATAGAACTAGAATAGGAGGAGTTAACCCTTTCACAACGATGAAGTCACGGCCTTCGCATCTGGAACTAGCAACTCCGGACGGTCTGCTCCACCCCCTCTGCATCTCTAACCCCAGCATGCTACGCCTAACAATGGTACGCTGCTTCATCTAACAGTGGAACGCTGTTGGAGATGAGGTAGAACGTCTATGAGCCGCCCCGTAGAGGTGTAGAGGCGAGAGTCCACGAGAGTCCAACGAAAAGGTTGTTATTCCGATATGACCCTCCAAACGCTAAGGAATGATGTTAGTCAAAAGTGTTGAGGTTGAACAAAACTTCGCAGCCTGGGCGGGGGTTGAACTCGCTTCTCACCTTTTTGGGGGGCGCGCGCTAGTCACGATATCAAGGTGTTTAGTAGCGTCTGCACCATCGCAGAGCAATAATCAGTAGTCTTCACAAAGTCGTGGTCTTCCATCACTCCCTCCTCCCTTCTCTCATTCCTTTGCCACCTCATTCTTTCATATTGAAGCTAAAAAAGCTCTTGGCGTTGATCAATCCCTGAGGGATGCGCCATGCATTCGTCCTCAAGTCTTAACGCATATCTGACCTTTACAATGACTCGCGGTGGCCTCCCGCTGAACAGATTCAGTGCTGCTCATACTCCCAGACAAGTTTGAGACCAGTCTGGTAGCAGTTTACCGACCCCGAAGGATGGATGGCTTACGAAGCCATGAGCGCGAGAGCGAACCATTGACCTCGTGAGCGATGCAGAGCGCCTCTGACCACTGAGACACATGCGCTTTTCTCTATGTTAGTCAGATAAAACGTGAGAATTCGAAGCAGAAGAAATACGGGGCTCGCCTCGTCGAGTCACACGCCTTCCAAAATCTACACTATTGAAGGAGGAGAGGACACTCACACGGCACACGTCGGCTTGAGTTTTTGCCTCGCCGAATTCAACTGGTCCAAGAGCGACATAATAACGGAGGGAGAGCAGATCGTAATTTCTAGCACGCTAAGCATCACGCGCTGTCGCGCTCTAATGCTAATTGCGTTGCGTGCGTCTTGCGACGCGGTCGTTATGACGCCGCCGGCTAGAGTTTTTTCCCAGTGCTTTTCATTTTTTTCTTTTGTGCCCTAGAACGTTGTGTATGTTTTTGTCTAGGGGCTTTGGAAAGCTGGTCCTGCAGCGAAATCCTGGAAAAATGTAGGTTTAATCGAAGATATCAGCTCAGTTCCCAAGGCCGACTGCCTATCACCTTCATCTTGTAAAAAGTCCAGTGTTTTCCTGTTGAGCAGATCCGAGTTTCCTAACTATTGATTATTGATTGTTTTTATCGATTTATTGAAGCATTGATTTATTGATTACCACCACTCAGTGCAGTGGAATGATGGGTGACGCCGCGGCGGTATCACCTTGTTCAGAGTCATTTTCTGGTTCCTCCAGTTATTCAATGAAGACAAGGCGCTCAGATTCTTCCGTATGGCAGACTGCTTTGTATCAAATAAATCCTATCATTGGCAATTTCAAATCTGCTGATAAAGGCCAACCACTGGGTCATTTCTCAGGATCGATCATCTGTCAACGCCGGAATAGATTGACTATTCTAGTAGATCGAAAAATTCATATGTTTCTACTGCTTTTTCGCAGTGTTATGATGTTTCCAGCATTAGAATTGAGTGGAAAGCAAAAATTCAACCTCGGGCGGGAGTTGAACCGGCGTCCTTCCATGCGAGGGAGGCGTGCTACCACTACACCATAGAGGCCACCGGTTACTCACCATTATTCTTGAATATCTCTCTATGATAACTACCAGCCACTGATTTTTAATAGGTTTGATCCGGTCAGCACTATCGTTCTATAGTCCCAGTTAAGCTGACAGCCATTGTACCATAAAAATGATTATTTTAGTGTTATATTTTAGTATTTTCAAAATATTTCATATATTATATGTAATGTATTTTATTTTGTTTTATGTTTTTTGTATTTAATTTTGCATTATATCATTTTGGTATTTTGTTTTGATGACTAGATGCGACGTCGTTGATGATAGTATATTTTTTATACTCTTTATTGATCCCTCTTCCCTCTTCTTGTTTTCTTTCCACTATTCGGATCTCAGTACTTTTAGCATGAAATTCGTTGTGTCGTTTTCTTGGAAGTCGTAGAATACTGCTTGAGCGCGTCTCCTTGCAATCTCAAGGATAGCCTGGCTGTGGCGTTTCATGAGGCGTTCGTTGTTGACCGCCGAAGAGTGCTGGGGGTGGGGATCGACTCCACGCACGCTGTGATGAGCACGGCCACTTGGCCACGGTGCTCCACGATAATAATACTTATTGCCTACAGTAACGCATCATAATAATGATAGCTGGCGTCTTGGCGGTATCGCCTTCTTCTAAACCTGGAAAGGTCAGAATGACTCGCAATCTACTCAATCAAATACTTTCGATATCATCCTCCAATCGACTGGTTTCAAACCTCGCTGTAAACATTCAGTATAAGCTATGGGGATGTTTAGAGCCTTTTCGAGGGTGATATATCAGTGGCATTGGTACGTTTCGCCTCATCGTCCGCTTTATCAGCGGCCCACGCCCCTCCCCCACTGAAGACCGCTTTATAGCAGGAATCAGGAGACGTTTCTGGTGACAGTATGTGAAATTGTAAATATAATTTTTTTTCAGTTGATGGCCTCACATACACTACCAGTCAACTGAGAAAAAACGTTGAGAACCACGAATTCGCGTGCTATCACGAAAAACGTCTCCCAGTCCCTGGTATAAAGTAGAGTTGAGTGTGAGGCGTGTGGCTCTGATGAAGCGGGCGATACCTCCAAAACGTACGTAATCCACTGTCGTATCTTTCTCGAAAAGGCTTCATTCAAACATTTACACCAACTTCTCTTTCGCCATTTTATTTTACTGTGTAGTGTTCTATAAACTTTAGTAATAGCAGCGTCACATCTGCTCACTGAAAAACACCATAAAATGATTTTTGTCGAGTTTAGTAGATAGTCGGTTCTAGTCGATCCCGTGGCTCTCTTGTCCTGATTTCTTCACGTTTCCGCACAGTAACCGTCCAAGGAATTTGTCAGGAATGTTAGCTGGATTGACGATCCTTGGAGATCATTTACATGGCTGTATGGTTCGCTGAAGTTTAAAGCTCAGGACAGTAAGAAATTGCCTATAGCCTAATTCGGGCAACGTTTCAGTAAGCGAGGTTGTGACGTATTGTTAAGCCTTTATCGAACAACTGGTGGTCTTTCTTCGTACAAATCACAGCTTTACATCTCAGTTGAGATTTGTTGGATCGTAGCTGTAAAGACTAGTATCTTTGTTGTCAGTGAGTAGAAATCTGTCATGACGTTCTCTGTGACCTGCATTGAATTTTCCACTTTTTTCCTTAAGCAAAAAACTGTTTACAAAGACTTGCTTCATTGATAGCAACCAAAACGATTGGTCTCGGAAGACAGGTCCAGATTTGCGATCTAAGTGTTCTTTTGAGATTCTCGGCTTGAAACAAGGACTTACAAGTAGAACCTGTCGTGATTGATAGGCAGACTAATAAGCTTAGTAAGACGAATCAGCAGTAGCTGAAAATAATTTCGTGTAAAAATGCTGAAACCGGGCGGTTACAAGACCTTGAAGTTTCCTATGGCACATCTTGATAAGGCTACCTTTTGTTTATTTTGAAGGCGGCGACTGTTCTGAGCTTGTTTATAACGAAGAACAAATGAAATGTCAAGAAAAATGTAAGACGTTCTCAACAAATTGAAACCCGTTGCAACTATAAAATGAATAGTATTAAGTGGTATGTAAAACTTAGAACCTCGGATGGGAAATCGAGCGCGCATCTCACCTTTTCCGAGAGCGTGTCCTAACATTTACACTACCTTGGCTGTTGTTTTTACATCACTCTTACTGCGATAGAAGGTTTAATCCTCTAGTAAGCCTCTAAACATCCGTCAATAAAGGCCATTTACAGCCACGATCATTACTAGTGAAAATTTGGCGGTGGGGCGTTTTTTCCTGCGATGTCTCCACGTCTGAATGCTGGAAAGACTCCAGCGCATTTGGGTGTTCGGTATGGAGAACATCTTCGCATCTCTGTAGCAGCAAATCAGGTAATGATGTTCATCGCTAATGCTTTTTTCCTTTCTAACTATGATTTTTACAGGGTGGACGCAAGTATATGGAAGATCGCGTTCACATCGAGACTATTAGGAAAGAAGACGGCTCTATTAAGTTCACATTTTTTGGAATTTTCGACGGTCATGGTGGACACGAAGCTAGTGAATATGTGAGAAGAAACCTCTTAAATAACATAATGGTACGTTTGATCGATTTTTTGCGTAAATTTACATTTGTCCTTCCAGTGGTACTGTCTTCCAGATGAGTAGAAGGAAAATGCGTTCATATATCGCTAAATTATGCTTTCTTCCCAAACAGCCACTGATAATTGATTAGAGGAAACCTCCGCAATTTCTGTGTATTTGTTTTCACAGAAGGTCCCTCCTTAGCACTGTAGCAGAAAAAAATTGAATTGTGTTTTACAGACTCGTATTTTTCGCAGTGTTGAGCTCCTTTCCTCGAATTATACGCAACCATTCGATAGCGTAAGTTCTGACGATTGCAACGCTATGCTTGTTTTTCTGGAGAGACCTTTTTATTGCACCGTATCGGGGAAGATGTGATTGAGCTTCAAGCAATTTGCACATTGCTTGTTTGCTGGGAGTGTGGTGGTTGCGGATCGCTAGCGCGTTCAATTGGCCACGAAGGCACTATTCACATGTGGAATGCGATTCTTGTTATGAAATCTAAGATATTTTGCTCTCGAAAAAAAAACTCTGATAAGTCGTATGGATTTGATACTCAAAAATCTTCCTTATATGTTCGTATATTCTACGTGTTTTCAGTGATTTATAAACGTGATAATAAAAGCCCGCGAAGCTTGTGAAGCACACTTTTATTTTGAGTGCTACGCTCTAAAAAGGCTTCTTAAAGAACAAGTGCACTATTTGATATACAATGATTTTAGCTGTAGAATGATTGCCAATAGTCCAATGGAATTTCTTCGTCCGGCAAAATAGATTCCTTAAAAAACGCTTTTTAATAACGGGAATATCTTCGTATTTTATTTCTCTACACATGGTCCATCTCTCTAAAGCGTTCAGTTTGGATTCACTTCGTTGTCTTAGCAGAATTTAGTAACAAATCACATTTAAAAAATTATGCCCACATCATGTGATTTGTTCTGATCACTGCAATTAACTAGCAGGTCGGTGGGGTCACTGAGTTGTTTCAATACTTGGGTATATTTGCATATATATATATATATATATATGTATATATATATATATATATAATACATATCTACGCATGTGTATACGCGTCTATACACATATGTAAATGTATGCATGTATATGCATATATATATATATGTTTACATAGATCACTGAGTATACTTGTGAATTACTGAAATCGGCGATCTTACTTTTGTATCTATGCATGCATGTTCAAGCAGAACACTACTTGCCTAGCGTTGGATTTTTGTACGGGAACATGATTTCTTGTATTTAAGATATAATGAGCGCTGCAACAATTCCCTTGCAGCACTCTCAAAAGGTGCATTGACCTTTGATGAGGCAATATAATTAGTTGGTGTGAAAGTGACATCTATTATTTTCATTTGGTATACGAGATACAGAGCTCATGTGGCGCAGTGGTTAGAGGTGCTCTGAGCTCAGTGCTCTGAGGCTCTGAGGCGCACGAGGTCAATGGTTCGATCTCGCGCTCATGGCTCACCAAGCCATCATTCCCTCCGGGGTCGGTAAATTGGTACCAGACTGGTCTCAGACTTGTCTGGGAGGATAAGCAACAGTGACTTGGTTCAGCGCGAGGCCACCGCTAGTCATTGTAAAGGCCAGATATGCATTCGATCACCTCAAACGATGTTAGAAATTGAAATTGAATTGCATGGCGCATCCCTTAGGGATTGATCAACGCCGAGAGCTTTATCCTTTATGCTTTTATACGAAATACTAAGAAGTTAAAATATCTCCTGCATACACTTCGTCCTTGATTTCAGTGAAAGTAGCGGGCATGTTTTTCACAAGTGTTCTCTGTATTTTTTCGATCAAGAGTCGTGTTTCTCATGAGTTTGCAGAAAGTAATTCGAATAAACGATAAATGTGACATACATGTGAAACTTGTAAAGACAAGGTATTCTATTAAAATCACATTTTGATAGCTAATTATCTCCAGCTCTCTCTTGCCAGACAATTCGCACTGAATTAGATGTAAGTATTGGGCATCGTCCAAGAAATGCTGTTTTTGCAATGAGTTTAGTTATCAAACTATCGAGTTTCCTAGATAAAGTCTCTGTTTTTACTGTTATTTAGCAATAGTGTGATATTAGAAAAATGCAGCTAAGATCAATGGTTGATTTGCAAGCATTCGATGCTAGGCGAATGTTTTTCGCCTTTCATCCATACAGGAGCGCGTGCAACCGCCGATGATGCCGCTCTGCTACCACTATTTCACTCCTAAAGAGTAGTAAAAACAAGGGATTTATTCGGATTGTATATTTCGAATAGCTATTAGCATTATTGGGTATTATTATTACTGCCAGTATGTGCTTACTATTGGTTGCCGACAGCTTCGATAGGGATAATCGAAGGGAGATATTAGAGCGGTGGTATTCATGGTACAGTGGTGCACGCGCTCCTTCATCGGTGGAACCTGGGTTCAGCTATCGCCTGATGTTAATA